AATCCAATTGTATCATAATCCTGGTGCACTGGAAAGAAGCAGGCTCCCACAACTAGGAACTCCCTTGGAAGGGGCTCCCAGCTGAAGGGGCCTTGCATAGGCTGGAACCAACAGACCCTGCAACAGATGGGGCTCCTGGATGCATCTCATGCATACGTGGGGCTGAGGGTTTTGCAGCTGACAGGGCTCCCAGCCCTGGCTGAACCTCACATGCATCCAGGGCCAAGAGCCTCATGAGTTGCAGGACTCTTGGTCCCTCCTGTGGGACAGGAGCCAGACCTAGAACCCCACGGACGGTGGGAGTTTCACGGCCTTGGAGATCACAGCAGCTGTCTCCTTAGGGTTCAGGGTTTTCACATTGGGCAAGGTTCACCTGTGCAGCTGAGAGCTTGTCAACTGATAAAGCTCCCAACTGCAGGGGAGACCCTGCTACACATGCTTCCCATTTCAGTATGAATCATCTGTATATAAGAGTTGTTGAGAGTAATGTTAGCTATTTGGGGAAAAGTAGTATGTGGAGAGGAATTCTTATTAGAGGGATGAGTAAAGCTACGGGTAACATGTAAAGTTACCTATTCAAGATTTTTTTTTTACTGACCATCTCCTAGCTTTTACTGACAACCAAACTTTTTACAATTGCATGCTTTTACATAATATAGACATAATTTTATTCTGTCAGGCCCTGCCCTGATGTTGAGCCTCAGTTATAAAGGCTGGTTTCAAATAAGCATTTAATATGAACTATAGTTTAAAAAAAAAAATTCAGTAAAAAAAAAAAATGTCTTGGGTTGTCAACCCTGCTTGACTATAGTAATGCTTGATGGCTCCCTCTCTATATTCTTATGGTCCTGACTGGACTATGCTGCCCTTCTAGCTTAACCCCTAGCCATTCCCCACATCCCAGCACAGACCTCTCCCCAAAGAAGCCTAGCTGCAGTATTACAGGCAACCTGGAATGCAACAGCAGCAGCACATGGTTGATTGAACAACCGTTACAGGGTGCTGTCCTCCTTGTTGGACACCATGTGGTGCTCCTGTGCTCTGTCATCTGTTAAGGGGAGTCTGATTAGTGTTTTTATGGATGGATAAAGTTCTTTTGTTTGGTTGGTTGGTTAAACAGACTTTAATACCATCCATTTTAGCCTGATTTTATTGACAGTTGGTAAGTTTACTGACAGTTGACAACCCTGTATATGTACTATGTGAGCATCTTTGTAGATTTTTATCCAATTTTATTTTAGGGAGAAGAATCTCTATCAAATTTCCTAAGTTGGATGGAATATTTTCTGTAGATCCTTGTTTTCTTTCCCCCTACTGGGGATAAAATTTGTAGGATTTTATATTGTTGCTTTGGATAAATTCAGTTTTATTCCTATTTGTATTAATGTTTTACTTTGCCTCTAGATCTATTCTACAAGGTTCTGTGAATCCTGTTGATTGATTATCAGCAGTTATATCTCAATGTCTGATCCTCCCTGCATTTGGATCCACGCAAAGTAACTGGAGCACTTTGTTCCATTGGATCCCAATTCAGCAATTATTGAGAGAAATCCTTAACTACATGCCTCTTTACATGCTTAAGCTTTAATGATTTGAATCACAAATTTGCAGAAACCACAGGAGTCGTATATAGTCGCCTGAGGAGAAGTATATGACTCAACAGGCATGGTTTGACATAGGCTAATTTAGAAAGAAATGAAGTAAAAATTATCTTCAGCTACAACTTATTCCTGCAGTGTCTTAAGTATGTCTACACATATCCAACGCAGCACTTAAGCATATAGTTAGGCCTTAATTTTGCACTGCACTTACACTGTGCAAATGAACAGAACTTGAACACTTTGAGTATGTACTTAAATGTTTAGCTAGATTGGAGCCATATGCTTGGCACCTTGAACTGTTAAGCTCATAGTTAAACATTTGACCAGAAGCAGTAGTATCTGTGATCTAATGGGGTTGGGAAAACACATACCCCATGTTTTCTCACATACAGCATGCTCTCCATATTAGACATACTTTATTTTTGTAGGAAGCTTGAAGGAAAAAAAAATCTTCCTGGTAAAGGAAGCAGCAGGTAGGAAGTGAAGTCTGCTTCTGAGCCATCTGCCAGCCTAGCAGGTCAGATGGGACCCACTGATGGGACCCACAGTGGATGGATGCAAGGGTATCCACTGCTGCACCTCCTAGCATTGCCAGCAACACTTCTTTTTAGGCAGCAGTGATGAAATCAATTAACTGATTGAATCATTAGAATTTGCTTGATTCCTTCTAAACTCTTGGTTCTAAGGTGTTAACAGCACTCTTTGCTTTTAAATGGTCTTTAATGATTGCACTACTTCAGCTACCTTTACCCCTGCAATGCTGCTGTTAGCTGCTCCTAGTAACTTACATTCCATTTCACAGCCCTGTGGATGCTGTTGTTTTTTTTAACCTCTGGCTAATAATATTAGCATAGGTGTGGAAATATTAACTCAGGTGAACATGAGCGCAGGTATGGAAACCACTTTTAATGAAGCATTGGAGGCATTGTCCAGATGATCCACAAGGTTTGATTTTGTTTTATAAATCTGAAAAAGAGACATATATTTAACTATAATGACTCTATCACTAAAGAAACAATATATTTTGATTATTTTGACTAGTTTGTTGTGGTTTTATATATAATATTTGGTATTACAAATTAATGCACATTCCAATAAATATGTATTTGTTTATTTATTTATTTATTTATTTTTGCTTCAGTATTAAATTGAATAATATAACAATGTAACTCTAGGCCCCCAATTATTAGTGAAGCTTCTGAGAAAAATGTGTTTTGTTTTATATGTGGTGATGCACCACACCATCTGCACCCCCCTTTTCAAAAATCCTAGACCCATCTATGGGAACCACAGACCGACCCGGCATATCAGCTCATATCATCCAGCAGGGGAGGGGGGGGAGGGGGGTGCTCCCTATAAATTTGGTAGCAGAAGAGTAGATAGAGCACTAATCACTGTAACTCCCAGAGCTGTGGCAATTAATGCTGCCACTGCTAGCCCAGTGCCAAATTTCTGGATACTCGGGGATTCATATTTCTTGCATTTAAGGCACACCCCAATTTTTGCCACCTAATTATGTGCCAAAAAATGTGGTGCATGCATGAGTGCACACGTGTGTGTACCCACAGACACACACATTTAAGTTTTGGCTGAAACTGAATGTTTATATAGAAACAGGAATAAAATGTTGGTGAATGTAAGAATGGTCATAGTTGTCAGATCAAAGTTTGGGCTCCAACAATAGCAAGAGTTTTTAAAATAAGCAACTTTAGAGGTAGGGTAAAAGAAACAGGGAATGTGTAGAATATTCTATCTACTGCATACTTTCCCAGTAACCTCCTGCAGTCATAATTTCAGGGATGTGTCAAGCCTGAGGTTACACATGTGACTTGTGGTTGTGCTGTATTGTATTTAATATATTTGGATGAAACACCGACTAGGATAGAAAGGATGATTTTCTTCTTCATTGTATAGTCTGATATTTTTTTTTAAATACACACACATTTTTTGAAAAATGTATTTGTGATAAGACCATGTAGGATCCTTTATAAAACATATGCAGTATGGCCATGATCCTGTTTTGTTGTACCGTACATGAAATAATATACTTTGAAATGAAGACTGTCTATGAAATGTTCTCAAGCAGCATGAGTTGCTGAATTTTAGATTTGCATTTAAATTTTGTTTTTAATCGCATTGGATAAAATCCTAGGCATGGTGAACTTAATTTGATATCCATGTTGATAGTGTTAGGAATCCACCCATTACTCATGCTTTTCAAATTTAAAATGATTAGGTTAATTTGTCCTTGAAAAATACTGACTAATGTATGAGGGAAGATGTATGCGATTCATATAGCAGGCACACACAGAGCATTTATTTTGGTTGAATGTATTATATGTATATTGGCAGACAAGGTTCTTTGGATAAATCCAATATCTTTCATTATATCAACTCAAATAGTGGGAAAAATTCTTCTTTGTGAGCTTTCAGGTACAAATACCCTTCTTCAGGCCGAGGAAACATCTGCAGATAGTCTGTGCTCTTCATGGATGAAATAGTAAAGATGCTAGAGGCCAGTATGCATGGGAGAGAGTCAATCAGTGGTAATATAAATTGAGTTGGTCAATGGGTGAGAGACATGTGGGGGGAGAGGCATCTGGCCCTGCTCATGGTGAGTGGCAATGCTCCATCCCTGCCTGCCCGTACCCCCTAGGACCTTCCCAGAGACGCATACCCCCAGTTGATGACCACTCTCCTACAATATAATTGACAATTTTTGTCAATCAGTGAGTGATAGGGGAGAGGGAGGTGGGAGAAGGGGAATGAATATAGCTGGTAAATAGTAGAAAGGTTACTCTATTATTTACCAATTGTTTACCGGCTATATTCAGTCCCTCTCACCTATTGACTACCTCAATTTACCTTTTCACTGATTGACTCTCTCCCATGCATACTGGCCCCCGGGGTCCTTACTATTTCATCCAGGAAGAACACAGACCAATTACAGATGCTTCCTCAGCCTGAGGAAGGGTATTTGTACCTAAAAGCTTGCAAAGAAGAATTTTTTCCAACTATTTAAGTTGGTCTAATGAAAGATATCAGATTTACCCAAAGAACCTTGTCTGCCTATGTCCTTAGACAAACATGGCTACAAGATATACCTGTGATTATATGTATATTGTATTTCTGTCAACACTGGAGTGGATGTTCTGGAGCAACAACATGCAGAATGATTGCTCAATTTCCAGTTTATATCGAAGGGAAATCGTAACTATAGTATAACAGAACATAGAGCAGTGCATTTAAGGGTTGAATAACTGAACTTCTAAGATACAACTTTACTTTTAAATTGAAAAGGATTTTGTTGAATAGCACTCTGATAATGTAAAACAAATTAGTAATCCCACCACTGCCTTTATTTACTAATATCACTTTATCCCTTACATGACTTTCTAGATCGATTTGCTATGTTAGCAAACAATAATCTCCAGATTCTTAACATCAATAAAAGTGATGAAGGAATATATAGATGTGAAGGAAGAGTGGAAGCTAGAGGAGAAATCGACTTTCGGGATATCATTGTCATTGTGAATGGTAAGAAATAAAATGTGGCATTTCTGAGGTTGAATTGAGTTCCTGCTCTATTTATTGTAATGCATAGTTTATCAGCTTATAAGAAATCTTGATTCTGCCACTTATTGTAATAATTAACTGTTATATTATTGTTTGGTAATCAACATACTGTTTACAAATTGTCCATTGGGTTACATTATATTAAATGTAAGCTTTACATACATGTGTCATACATGAATGGAAATGGCATCATGGAAGAAGACGAATGTATGAATAGATCCCATCTCCTTACACAATTTCAAATATGTTGTGAAAAAGGAGGGGGTTTGGTTTGTTTGTTTTTATTAAACCTTTACAGGAGGAAAGCAACTATTCTAAGACCAAAGTCCAATTTTTAACATGCAATATTTTACTTTACTATATATCTTTTAGTACTTGGTCATGTGTTGTTGTAAAACACTTCATTTTATGTAATTAATGCAGTTATCCAGCTTCACTAAACCAGAGCTGTTTTATGAATGGCCCTTATTTAAAATCCTCTTAAGAACTATTAATATATTTTTTATATAGTAGTATGGCTAAATTAACTGAATGTTTTATTGAACATTGCCACTATTGTAAGTCATTATAAATTTTACCAATTTATTATAAACCCTAGAACAAGTAATATGAAATTGTGAACATAAAATTGAGTATGTAGCTTGACCTCAGTGCTAAAGTTAGTGTCAGCACAGTAAAACATAAGTGAATGTGTTTCTCTTCCCGTGGTGGCCAGCAAAGATGCTGTCCATTTGCATGCTTTATCTAACTTAGGTATTTCTTTGTCTCCAGCTCCTTAAGGCTAAATCCTAAGTAGTGTTCACATGCTTATATAGCCATAAGCATGTGAACACCATATACAATCACGTAACTAGTTTTTGGCACTTTTGTACTGTTTGAGATTCTGTTTCTACCTGTTGCAGAATTGGAGTGCTCTACATAGCTGTGTGTCCGGAATGAAGTGGAGGCGAGTGACTGTCACACTTTTTAACCCAACAGCCTAGTGTTTGTCCCTTGCCTAGGGAATGGCTCACCTAAAACGTTGTTGAACCTGTGTCCTGCTTCCCAGCAGGGTGCTGTAACCATTAGGACACAGGCTAGATATTATCTACAGCTTGCTCTAGCCCTTCCATTTGAAGATGGCCACTGCATCTTGTATTTTATATTCATTGGATAAAATGAATAAACACCATTGGGATTGGGCCCTAGAGCCCAGGGCTTCTCCCATCCAGGACAGAATCCATCTCACTGACTTGCCTTCCATCTGAGTTGCCCTCCTCCCCATTTATCTCCCTCTCTTTGCTCTAGTGGGACATCTTAAATACAAGATGTTTACTTTCTGCTTGGGTGCACTGGGAAATACCTATCCTGTGGCTTGGTGCGTAGTATATCATGTTTAGGAATCAGGTAACCTAAGTTCAAACCCCTTCTGGGTGATGGGTACCTAGAAAACAGGTCTTCAATCCTAAGAACTGTTGAGTTAATAAGTATATGGGGTCCTTCTTTTCTGTTAAACATCTAGTTTTCCTCTAGGAAAATTTTCAGGATTTGCCACACGTTTTTACTTGGATGATTCTGTTTTTGTGGACACTTGTGCATGCACATACATGTGCACACATGTGCATGCACATGCAAACCAGCTACATGGCCACAGTGCAGTCTAATGTGCAAGCTTAGTAAAGAAGTTCAGGATGAGTACACCTATGCTGAATCTCAACTGTGTTAAGTTGCAAAAAACTGCATTTGCTTAGCGACATAAATGCCATTTAAGCATGCAAATGGAAAAAAACCCCCAAAATCTGTCTTATAAGGGTTGTTTTTTTTTCCTGGATGCCTCAACAACCAGATTTTCTCATCTTTATAGTCATCTAAGTCCCAAAAATGCCATTTTTGCCGAAGTTGACAGTCTGTTCCAAGGCAATTAGTCTTATGCATGTACATCCAAAAATGGAAGGCCAATCTGTACATAAGCAGCATTCACTCTAGGAGTTTGTGGCCTATGCAGTGTGTGTGTGTAGGGCATGCAGCTCCTAGCCACTCCAAAATGGGGCAACCCTGAGGTAGATGACAAAATGTGGTAATCTAGGCATCCAGAAAAGAATAGAGTGCCACCCTTAGTATCTGGGATTATGGCTATAACTTGTTATTGAATGGCCTAATATAGCAAACCCTTAGATATATGAATAATAGTTTCAAATGTGAGCTAGGGATGAGTAAATATTATTTGATGCAAGTGTTCCTTGAATTCAATGTCTGAGAATTAAGACGTTTTAAACAAGTAAGCTTTATATTGTTTTTGATAGTAAAGAGAGGGGGAGGGATGATAAGTGAAAGCATGTTCTGCACTTCACATGGAAGAGTAACATGTAGTTTCCTTTTACTTTGATGTTTCAAAAGGCAGATTCCCTCCCTCTTTCTTTGTGTGTATTTTGGTCTTGAACTGTACCTATTTATTGGGCAGATGCATTTCCTACAACATGGGTTTTCAACCTTTTTTAATAAGTGTACCTCTGGTGGCTGGAAATGGGGGTGAGGAGGGGAGTGGCACATGACCAGATGTGGAGCAGAGTGGGGTGGGTAGCACTTGACCAGATGCGATGAGGGGTGGTGGGTGCGAGCTTTCCTCCCCCCCACATCTGGCCCTTCCCTTGTCCGCCCCCAAGGCCCTGAACCTGGGAGATGGTGGTGCAGGATGGTGAGTGGCGGTGCTCTGTCCCTGCCTGCCCATACCCCATAGGGCCTTCCCAAGTACCCCCAAGGGTATGCATACCCTTAGTTGATAACCCCTGTCCTATAACATAATTGACAATATTTATCTATATAGTAAAGTTTATTTTTTCTGCTCTTTGTGTGGGTGTATAGAATTGAAATTAGAGTGATATATTTTATTTCTAGTAACAATGTTCATTTTATACTGTTCTGTCTCTGCTAACAGACACACTAAAACTCCACAACCTATACAGACTTGTAATATTCCAAGTTTGATATTTCATATTTGTCCAGTGCATTAGTTTTGATTTTGTAACTTTTTTTTCACAAAATGAGGTTGTTGGACTCATGCCCATACCTCACCTGGAGAGCCAGTGTATTCTTTTTAATTTGGTCTCTACCTTTCTACCCTGCTGATAGCTGTGTCATGCTACTGCTGACATCTCTCTCAGGGTTACAGAGACATGCAAGCTCCTCCACTATATTAAAGTGAGAATACCTTCAGAGTGAGTGTGAGAGGTAGCTTTTGAAAGGTGAGGTGGAGAGGTAGATGAAGGCAACAATGGGCAGATGACATAAAAAGTGATCTGGAAGGGATAGGCAAAGATGCAAGAAGGTGAAAGGAAATTGCACAGGCTAGGAAGAGATGGAAGGCTATGTTTAAGGCGGCTATTGTCTCTTGAGACCCACACGTGCCTGCTTTCTCTCTCAATTATATATAAACATTATAGGACTATAAAACATTATAGGATTATTTTTATCATGCAGACATGTAAACTCCTACATAATTTATATGTAAAAGGGGATTGTTGTATTTATATTATAAATGAGTGTGTGTGCGTGCATGTGTGCGCATTTTGTATGTATACCTTGAATAATCATTTACCCTGTAGTACTTCATAAAGTAAAGAAATGAATGCTAATAATGCAGAAGTTGGACAGAGAAATAGACCAAACCTTGTATGCGTATTTTATTGTGGACATTAGAACGTGCTTTGCCAAGACAGGTAACTGAAGACCTAAATACTAGATTTATGCCTTCTTTATGAAGGGATGTCTTTTTACTTCCACTTTTATTTTAAATAGAGTGGGAAAGTGAAGTGTCAGATAAGAACTGTGGCTAAATTAAAGCCTCGTATTAGTGAGTATGGATGGTTCAATTCCTATAAGACGGCAACATTTCTAGACTACAATTTTGAGAACCAGAATAAAAGAGTTACCAGCTAGCAACTTTAAGACCATTTCACTTTGTAGAATGATATTCATTAAGGTCTACCTCCTACTTGATTTATTGGGATAACTGGCTTCTTTAGGATGAAGCCAAATATATTAAATCTGTCCCCAGAAGTCCTTTAATGTTTAAAAAAGGAAACAAATTGCAGTGACCTATAATGAAAAACAAAAATTACATATCTGTTTCAAGACAGAAATAACAGTTTTTCTAAGGACCAGTACAGTCTCCACAGATCTGTAGCCTGGCAGATCCTCCTTCCATAAAATAAACATTAGAAAGGACCTATGCAAGCGTTTTACATTTGCAGGGAAGGAATAGAAACTGCATGGATGATAACCTCTGTTTCTTTACTTATTTACATAGAAGTATTCAAATTACTTGAAGTATTTCAAGTAGCACCTCAACCTTTCTGATCCTGAGGCCTACTCTAGTCCCCTGTACAAGCCTATACCCATATTCTACCCCTTCCATATCTTTTAACATTACCTGCCACTTACAGCCAATCTTACCCAACACCATATATAGGTTTCTCACAGTCTAATGTAGACATCCTGTAGCCAGCTCTGTAAATGCTATCTCTGTAATAGAAGCAGAATAGCCACATTTGCAGAGTACTATGCCTGGTATTATTAGCTTCCCAGTGGAGCTAATTATCCTGCTCACAGCACTATGCTAAGACAATTCTGTTGCTTCCTTTGTCAGAGATTTGGACCCTTCATTGCCTGGAATATTTATGAGGAGAGGGTTCTGAAGAGCCTCCCCCAGCCTCCTTTATACCTATGCTACCATTGTTTGAAAACCACTGGCTTGAGTTTTGTTAAGTTTTGTATTAACATTATCAAGAACCAGTTCTACCCAAAAGAGTCTTCCCTCTAAGATTAAGATCAAATATGACTGGACAAAAATGAAGCAATATGTGTAGGGCATAAGTACTGGGTAACAACACAACAACAATACTAATGTATTTTTGCGTATACTTTTTACATGCATAATTCTACTTGTTGTTGCTGTTGTCTTTGAAGGAGAACTGCTAGGTGCC